CGCGGCCCGGACCCCGGCTGCGACCCCCGGGGGGAGGGACCCCCAGTCTGGCCTCGCGGGCGCCCCCCAAGCCCCCAAGCCCGCAACCCCAACCCCGGAGCGCTCCGGGAACGTCCCCAGAACTGCGCCCCGGACACTGGCCGGCTCCACTGGGTACAGCCAAAGCTGCTTCGTTCGGGACCCCGGAACCCCTTGAACCCATCTGCGAGCCCATGGCTCGAAGCCCCTACTGCCGACCCCTGACCCTCGCCCCGGAAGTTGGGGTGACTCGGAAGTTCCGGCTTAGTCGCTAGGAAACTGGCCGGCCCGACGTGAGGGGCGGAGCTTCTGGGCTCTGTGCGTTGCGAGAGGCAGGTGAGGCAGGTGAGGCCGCAGACGCGGGACCAAGCACCCCCGCTCACTCGGTGGCCGCCTTACAGCACGCAGACACACCTCTGGTTTCCCCACTACACTCCCTGCAGGCTATCCTCTCACAAGAGACCGACGGCACAGGAACGCCACGGGCTTTCCCACCCATATGTCCAAACCACATAGGGGATCCTGCGCGCACCCACACCCCTGTACCCATGGGACCCCTCAGGCACAAAGGGACCTCGGGTGGCCCATCAGCAGAAGCCCCTCCGCCACACAGAATCCCGCACACCAAGCTCCGCCCCTCATCTCATATAGAGGATCACATCCTGAACCAAGAGTGTGGTCCTGGCACCCACTGATCGCTTCTTCACGCACGCCAACTGAAGGCACAGGGGTCCCACGATCACACATGTACGTTAAAGCGTCTCTGCGCTCTGGATGCCGCAAGTGGCTGGGTCCTCTATAGACAGGGAACCCCATGTACATATCAACCCCCACACATCACCCATACACCTAAGCGCTTAGTTCCTCCTAGGTCCCTGGTCTGCCCAGTTCTCCCTCTAACCCACTTCCCTACTTAGGCTCTGCCCTGAACTCAGACGTGTGTCCAAGCCAGCTCCCCATCCACCAGTTCTCCTGCCCCAACTTCTCAATGTCTGCCACCTGCCTGAACATTCTCTGTAAGACAGCCTTCAGTCACTTTCTGGTCCTGTTTTCAGGATAACATTTCATTAACTCCATTTCCAAATGTTCCTGTGGCACCAGCGGGGTGGGAACGTAGCGGTATGGAGTCAGGAGATTGCACTGCCTGGGCTTCCTATTCATTGGGCCCTGTGAGGGGTTCCAGGATACTGGAAGACCCTAACTCGGGCCGAAGTGGAAAGAAGACTCTTCCTAGGGGAATGAATGGGGGCCAGCCTCGGATACTAGGGGGAAGGGCGTTGCTTCCAGAACCAGACAAGGAGAGGGGGTTCGGGGATGGGGAGGGATTGGGTTCAGCAGACCATGGGTTGAGGGCACTTGAAGGTATGTCTACACAGCCCAGGCTGATCAGCTGGCACTCCCGTGATTTAGAAACTGGTGCCAGAATGTAGATCTGTGGATTCCAGCAGGGTGGGCGGGGCCAGGACTGTAGAGGACAGGCACACAGCATAAAGGGAGACATTCTTGCCAGGCCTCCTTGCTCAGGCCCACTGGACACATACTCAGATAACCAGGGGCAGGCAGGTGGACCAAGAGATTGGCTGAGAAGTGTGCTGGAGGTCTGTGCTCCTACTGCATGCTCATCCAGGGCCAGCGCAGCATGTCCACTGCCTTGTCCTCTGCCCTTCTGAACATACCCTCCCTGGACTTTCCTTCCCGCCCCCCCAGGAGCATGAGCACTAAGAAGGGGGGAGCCAAAGCTGCAGCAGTGAAGGGACAGGCGCCCCCACCTGGGCCCAAGCTTCGAGCGGCTGCTGGTGAGTGCACCCTTTGACCTCCAGGGCACCGCCCCGACACTGACCATGAGACCACTAGGTACACAGGGTTCCTCTGAGAAACCCTTCTCTCCAAGGAGTCTTCAAGGGATCGGTCAGCTGGGCTTGGGCACGCTAGATTTGACGGCTTAAAGCCCAGACATCCACTGTAGCCTGGACCTCTAGAGCCCGGGCGGGGAGTGGGCACGGGCCTCAGAAGAGCAGTGTTAGAGCCCCTGGAGGTGGGATAGGGGTCAAGAGGAGACTGGAGGGGCAGATAGCTTAAAAACGATATTGAAGCTGGGCGGTGGTGGCGCACGCCTTCAATCCCAGCCCTCGGGAGGCAGAGGCAGGGGGATCTCTGAGTTCGAGGCCAGCCTGGTCTACAGAGTGAGTTCCAGGACAGCCAGGGCTACACAGAGAAACTCTCTTGAAAACAACAACAACAGCAACGAAACCAATATTAAAAAAGAGCAGGGCTTGACTCTAAGTTGGGAATCCTCATGATACGTGGTTGTCCCACTCCTCCTCATTCCACAATCACCCCGCCTCAGCCTTTCCTCCTCATACCACCTCACCATAGCACTGAAAGGTTACAACTAGACTGGGCTGGCTTCTGCAGAGCATCAGGAGATGGACACCCCACCCCCACCCCCACCCCACATGAGCGAGCGAGTGAGCGCGCTCCCTGCGTCCACCCTCCTTCAGCCTTTATCACCCCTTTGCTCTGAGTGCCATCCATTCTGCCACAGCTGTGAACATCCTCCAGGCTGTCTCTTGGGCTCTGCACCCAGACTTGCCTGGGGTGTGTGCCCGCTGCAAGAGTGCC